TTCGATTCGTTCCCCCGTGCGCCGCGCCCGTCCCAGCCCTGTAGCACAACCGCGACCCCGCCCGATCGGTGGCCGTAGGCGGGCGGATTCCTAGGGTTTCGGGCGAGCTCGCGGATTGCCATTTCCCAATCATCCCATGTCGGATGATAACGAGGAATAGCCAGTAGGGTGGTCCGCTGGCTTCCGCTTTCGTGTGGCTCTGTATGGTGAGCATTTCGTGATTTATGTAGGCTGTCGGTTGGTGCCAGGTAAATGCCCTGTTGCGGTGCTCTCAGTGATACCATTTTCGGACGGTACATTCAATCAATCAGTCACAGGTGATTCAGATTTTTCATGTTTGAGACCCCTCTCACATCTGTGATGCACTATGCGTGAAGATCATTTTTCGCTGGGGAATGGTTAGCATTTCGTGATTTACGGGCTGTCGGTTGGTGCCGTCTAGTAAAAATGGCCTGTTACTGTATTGAGATAGTATAGGTGAGAAGATGACATGGATGATGGATCAATCCCAAGTGGTTTGGTTTTTCATGTTGGCCACCTTCTCACAGGTGTGTGCATCCGTGACTGAACTTGGGTATTTAGAACGAAATCTGAGAGTTGACGAAATGAAATTGGTGTTTTCTGTGAATTGAAACGGCACACGTATTGCCTTGCTGTAATTCTGTTGCCTATCACGATCTCATGTGCTCCTGAAATTAGTCTTCAGATATGCCTTTCTGCTACCAGCTGCCTGCTGGGTGTACATGTTGTCCCTTGAATTGTTCATGGGAAAAGGCACAGCAGTAGATCATACAATCTGCCTGTAATGACAAAATCTCATTCGCTGCTTACTACTCCAGTGTTGTTATTTTGATTTATAAATGCAGTCCCCTTGCCTTCTAATCAGTTAACTTGACTTGGGACCATTTCTATCTTTCAGTGATTGCCTTTTGTCCAAATACCACAGAAGTACACATTTATAAGTTTTTCACAGACAAGTGGGAGAAACTTCATGTTCTTGCAAAGGTAGACTTTCCTTATTTTCTTTCTTGCATGTGCAGTAGTATCTGCACTTGAGCTGTCTCTTTCTTCTCCATTGAACATTTCCATTTGCTAGTTTATAAGTGTATTACATTAACATCTTTATTTTTATTGTTATATCTTGTAGCATGATCAGATTGTGTCTGGAATAGACTGGAGTAGATCTTCCAACAAAATTGTGACTGTTTCACATGATAGAAATTCGTAAGTGTTTGGTCATAATTTCTAATGTGCAAGTAAATAGTCTGTCTTTTAGTCCAAAGAAGATAATTATATCTGTTTCCTTATATTCCTTTATTTACCTGCAGATATGTTTGGACACAAGAAGGACAAGATTGGGTACCTACGCTTGTTATTCTCAAGCTAAACCGTGCAGCTCTATGTGTCCAGTGGAGTCCAAAAGGTTCTGCCAATAGCCTGCCTTCATACTTCTACCCCGAATGCATTAGGAGTATCTATTTCGTTGCTGAATGATCAAATTCTCCAAGTAGATATTGTTTCCCATGGTACATATGTTCCTTAGTTTGTTATGAAAACTTGTCTCCCATGGTAGAACATAGCTGCACATGAACTATTTAGCAACGAACCATAAGTGAAAGTGTGAAACATATGTAGCTGGATATTCCTCACACCATTGTTTATAAGGCGTCCTGCCTTGGATGCTTAGGCGGTAAGGTGCCCTGTCAGCGCCTTACATTTATGCCCGCTTTAAGCGCTTAGGCGTCCACCTTAGGTGCTTAGGCGCCAGGGCGGTTGCTGGTTGGTGCTCACCTTGGGCCGCCTTATAAACAATGCCTCACACTTTAAACTCCTTTCTAAAAGTTTCTGTTGTTTGCAGAAAATAAGTTTGCTGTGGGAAGTGGTGCTAAGTCTGTATCCATTTGCTACTACGAACAAGAGAACAACTGGTATTGGTCGCTGCCACTTCCACTAGTCGTGTACCTGTTTTGATTAACTTGTTTTTCAATTAGTTATGCCCAGTGCACTAATTGATGAGTGTTTTCTTCTGTTCCTGCAATTATTGTTTTCTTCTGTTCATGCAATTATTGAAGTCACTCTTGATGTGCATTCTTTGAACTACCTTGATTTTCTCTTATGGTACAGGTGGATTAGCAAGGTTATTAGGAAGAAGCATGAATCTTCTGTTACTAGTGTCGCGTGGCATCCAAACAATGTGAGCATAATATCATGCCTCTCCTTGAAGTAATTTGAGCATAATCATCAGTAGGGAAACATAAGGGACAATTACCTAGGGGGTGCATTCATTATATTTGTGTTCTTTATCTATTGGGAGTAGTGAAAATGATCATATGCGGTTTGCCCCTCTATAATGAGAAATGTAACATAAAAGAGTGAAGTAAAGGTGCCCTTATCTGACTGTACCCCAGTGAATTTGTGCTGTTGTCTGCCACTGGCTAGTAGCATATCTCCTATTCGCATCAGATGATTGGATGAACTTATTTGATGTGATTTTGTTTGGTGTAGATGCCATGTATATGCACAACCCGTTTATTGGAAGTAATGTTGGTTTCTCTGCTTTCATCTAATTTCAGATACATCTTGCAACAACTTCTACTGATGGTAAATGCAGAGTGTTCTCCACTATCATCAAGGGTGTAGATACAAGGTGGACCTTGCCATTATTTTTGAACTCAAAACCTTGCCATTAATACAGTCAGTACACATTCCAAATGCTTTAGCTGTCTCATTCTTTCTCTCTTTCTGATTAGGGGTCCACAAGCAGGTGCCTCAGTGGATTGGAAATTCGGAGAGGTATTTGCTATTCATTCATCCGTTATTCATCCGTTAGTTCATAATATGCTGTTCCTTGGCAAGTATACATCTCACGTACGAAATCTGCTTGCCAATTCGCCTTATAGACTAATGGCATGCAATTGAACGTGCATGACTTTTGCCAATAGTAACCTCCTATCAACTTTGTTAGCACTTTGCACCCCATCTACGGCTAAAAAATAAGAAATAATCTGCTGATTCGCAAAGTTTGTTTTCAACCATTTGGTGGCATTTTTTATATTAAATACTTCCCCAACTCTTTTATTCTTGGGAGGCTAAGAATCCAGATCAATATGATTGAGAATGTTCCACAGGACTATGCTTGCAGTGTCTTATTAATCTGTGTTCTTTCTTGTTAAGTTGCTAGTCATGCTTGTAACATTTTCTCCTATTCGGATGCAGCAAATTGCTCAACTTGATCTATCACCTACATGGGCATTTGGTGTAAGGTGGTCGCCAAGTGGAAAAACATTGGCCTATGCAGGTTTTCCCACCTAGCTTCTTGTTTCTATGGGTGCCACTGATTTGCATTACTTCTCAGCAGCCATCTAGGCACAAATTGTTTACGAACTCAACATAATTACCTGCCAAGTGTTTTCACAATCTTATTCTTGTAATTAGTGAACCTCTTCCATTGTGGTATTTGAACTTCCAAAAATTATTAATAGGTCTCTTCATAATTAAGGTTTGTCCTAATCATTTTAGGCTAATGAGATTATGATTGGTTTCTTGATGTTCTATTTTTAACTTTCTCCTAACTGAATTTTGGGTTCCTTTGTGAGACTATTCGCCCTTTGATCTATCCATGCAAAGTATCTAAGTAGCTGCAGATTCCATGCAAACTTTTGCAGACACTGAATTGATTCTTGTTGTGTTATTTTCAGGGCACAGTTCCATGATTTATTTCGTTGATGACGTTGAAGGGTCTCCTGCTGCGCAAAATTTGGCACTGCGTGATCTGCCTCTCCGTGATGTGGGTCAGCATTTTCCCTTTTGCTATTGTTTAGTTTAGTTGCATGTGGTGATCTCCACATTTCATTAATTGAGTGAACTCTTCCAAATTTCAGATTCTTTTTGTTTCTGAAAAGATGGCGATTGGTGTTGGATTTGACTGCAATCCTTTGATCTTTGCTGCAGATGAGACTGGACTTTGGTAAGAAAATTGTGCACAGCAACTGTTTTGTTAAATTAGCTGCACTTTCTCTTCATTCTAGCAGTACTTTGAAGTGGCCATTGCTTCCTGTAAAAACTGTTAACTTACATCTTGAGGCACCTTCAGCTTGCTAATTCTTACGGTCTCGTTGTACCTAGGCAAAAATATTCCATTTCAATCTTTGACAAATGACACTAATTAAAGTTCAGGGTTTGCTAGTAGCTCTTGATACCCAGGTCTTAAAGTTTTTCTCTCATGGACATGTTCTTTTTAACAATATGTACTTACATATTTGTATCCTGTAGGAGTTTTGTCAGATATTTGGATGAAAGGAAAGTTACTCCATCAACTTCAAAAGCCTCACAGGTGCCTCTTATGCTTATCAGGCCTCTCTGCTGTATGTTGTTATATGTGTTTGCTATTTATCCCTTGTTCATGAGATTGTTCTGTTTGCATCTGTAGAAGTAGGGTGAACTGCTTCCTGAATGGTTGAGTACAGGTTAAATTAGCTGTAGGCTATATGCGATTTTATGTGTGCATGAGTGTGAGATCTTCTGAGATGGTGCCTGGTTAGTTATATAAAGTTGGGTTTCCTTTGCATGAACAATCTGATCCATGGTCCTTCTACTTGGATGTCAAACATTTCAAGCCCCTCTAGATTTTGTTAAGGAACAGTAACTTGAGTGAAATGGGCACACTGCAGTGTTGCACATGGTTGCCGGTCTAACTCTGATTTCGGCACGGTTCTAACACAACTACGAACAAATGGCTTGGTATGGTCTCGTCTGACTTTTGTATGCTGTCGATTTTTAATGATGGAAGTAAATTGTCAGTTTTCTGACGCTTTTGTAGAACCATATACCGCGAGTTGGTGCCTGCTATAATATAGGATAAACTATTTCATCCGTATGATCTGGTGCAATTTTATGGCTACAGACGCTGAAGTTGTAAAGACCGTGTGGAAGAAAGAAACATTTCTTGTAGCTGACGTTAGAGCTATGCTAACATCTTTATTAAAAGGAGGCATGTGGCTAATACTAAATGAATATATAATGTTTCAGCTATCAGAGGCCCTTGGGAAGTTGTACGGCCAATCGAGGCAAGGATCGAGCAGCGACACTGTCGAACCATCGAAGCCTCGGGGTGGCGCTCATGAGAACTGCATAACGTACTTCCCTGCTTCCATCTGTTTTCATCACTTTACCGTTCTAGTTCCGCTCTTTTGTCTCTGATATATAATTCTGGGGTCTTCTGTATCCTCAGTTGCATCGTGCCGTTGAGAAAAGGGAGCGAGAGTGTTGTCAAACGGTTCAGCACATCAGG